GTGTTAATGTCCTGTAGTGTCCAGTCAGTGTGTCTGGACTGTATTAACTTCCTTCTCTCTTTGCCAAGGGCTAAAGGATCTGATGCTGTCTGGCTGCTCATGGTCGTCAGTGTCAGCTCTTAGCACACCCAGCTGTCCCCTCCTCAGGACTCTGGACCTGCGCTGGGCTGAGGGGGTCAGAGATACTCAGATCAGGGACCTCATCATCCCCCCAGGTACTTTCACCCGGCAGCCGCCATCACTTTGATTCATCCAGCGTCAAGAGCTGCTCATGGCTCTAGGCCTCGGTAACAAGTAGCCCCAAGGGGCGCACAGGCACTGTGTTCAGCTCTTATTCTGTGAGCCAGTAGCTGCCTGTGAGCACATCGGGGATTTCGGGAGGTTCAGTGTCCAGGTGTGGTATTTAGGTTGCCTCCAGGTGGTGGTGTTTTGGACTTGAGTCCCGTATTTCTGTCACACACAGAGTTTGCCCTCTGCACGTCTGTGTGTGACTGAAGCAGGTAGATCGGCAGCCTGGTTTTGTGGATTGATGCTGAACCTCCTCGTGCAGGGCAATCAGAGCATATGACAATCGTTCACCAAAACCGCAGAGAATCGGGACGTTCTGGCATGAAAGTATTTGGTTTCTGTGGTAAAGACAAACCTAGTCTTCAGCTTATGACCTCTTGTGAAGCTCACACTCTCACACTCTCACACTCTCTCACACACACACACACACACAGTAATATACTCGCACCCTCTCACACTCTAGCATGTCTGCTATACCACGATAGCTGGTTTGGAAAACTGTTTTACAAAATCATGTTCTAGAAACCATTGGTTCAATGGAGATTAAGGGGTTAGGGGGTTGAGCTTAAGATTCACAATAACAAAGGTTTTTTTTTCTATAGTAATTGGTCATATTAGTTTGAATACATTACGTCTTCCTAATGTGTTTTTGTAATTGCAAAATTAAATGGGGGAAAAAGTAAGGGTTAGTGTGCATCAGTATTTCCATCACTAAGGATGAGAAATTCTGCAGTGGAGGAGGGTGAGAACATCTTTTAACAATACAAACCACTATCATTTTTTTACTTCCCCTAAGAACATTGGATAAATGTATAAATAAAATGTGTTTGGCACTCCCCACAAGCAGACGTGATGGAGGTTTGAGAGGAGTAGTGTGAACTATACCATGCTTCTCTCGTATGGCTGTATGACAGCAGCTCAGCGCAGATACGCTGTGATGTGTCTGCAGGCTGGACGGAGGCCGACGCCAGCGCGCAAGAGAACGGCCAGCATCCCATGAGTCTGTCGCTGAGTCGAGGCTGCTGCACAGCAGTTTTTGCTCCGCTAGTCCCAGTATACTCAAGTCACGTTACAGCCAGCATGCAAAACGCATTCCCCAATAAATCGGAGTTGCTCAATTTATGTTATGGGAACCTGCGTTATAATAGATATGACTGTATTCACGTCCATAGCTACACGTCCATACTCGCGTGCACTGCTACGCACCTACACAGTGTACTTTTTTTTTATTTTGTATTGTTTTTGTTGTTTTCGCTGTCTTCTACATAATGTTGTGCTCTCTCATTGTCTTGTTTTCTCTTACTTATCCTGTCCATTAAGTGGAGCTGGAGACATGGTTTATATTACAACTTGAACCCATGGAAATCGGTCCTATTTGGTCTCGGGTCTCAGCTGTTGCTGCATGCTCAGACGTTCTCTAACCTGTTTCTCTGCATGGCAGTGTTTTCTTTTGCTGGATGGAGTTAAGCTCTTCAAACCTATGCCTTATCCCTGTGTTTGCAGGCTGTGACAATCACAGTAAGCTAAGGAACATGGTGTCTTTCCGGCTATCTGGTCTAGAAGTGAGCGATGCCACGCTGAGGCTCATTATTAGACACATGCCCCTGTTGTCCCGGCTGGATCTGTCACACTGTCGCCTCATCACTGACCAGTCCGTCAATCTGCTGACCGCTGTGGGGTCTTCTACCAGGAACACCCTCACTGAGATCAACCTGGGAGGTGGGCTGAATGTTTGTCACTCTGTCAGCTTGTTCTTCTGTCCTTGTTGCCTAGCCTTGTTGTTCTGTACGTCTGTTACATGTCTCTCAGTGCAGTGTTAATCTACTGGAGTGTCCAGTCAGTGTGTCTGGACTGTATGAACCCCTCTCTCTCAGTGCAGTGTTAATGTACTGGAGTGTCCAGTCAGGGTGTCTGTACTAACCCCTCTCTCTCAGTGCAGTGTTAATGTACTGGAGTGTCCAGTCAGGGTGTCTGGACTGTATTAACCCCTCTCTTTCTTTCTCTTTTTCAGGCTGTAACAAGCTCACGGATGACTGTCTGGTCTTCTTGAAGCGGGTGTCTTGTCTATCTCTTCTGGATCTGCGGGGTTGTAAGGGAATCAGCCGAAGAGCCTGCGAGGCCTTTATCTCCGAACTGTCTGTCAACGCACTGTACTGTCTTTCTGAGGACAAGCTTATACAGAGGATCTCATAGAGAGAGACTATGCTGTACGGACAAAGAGAACTATCAGAGGATAAACTAATACAAAGGCTTGTTTTGTGTGAGAGAGACTGGTGTGCCGAGGGGAAGAGTGTGTTGTACAAGGTGATGCTGAGGGTGTCGGAGCGAGGGAGAGACTGCCCTGCACAGGGGGGATTGACTACTGTGAAAGAGACTACTGTCGGTGCGAGGACAAGCTGATACAGGGTGTTAGATTGGCAGAGGGGGTGTCATACAGTCCCAGGCAGACTGTGGAGGGGTTAGGAAAATTAGTGAGGGTGGGGTGCTGGTGTTTTACAGACCGCTCAGAAATGCACAACCTCTCGATCAGTTCCAATATTAAGAGGAAGTGAGCAAATTGTGTTCTAGTTAGACGCGTTGTAAAAAAAACAAATCCAGGAAACTCCACAGGGGGAGAAGCGAGTCTGTACACGTGCTACCCAAGACATCTCTTTGTCCGAGTCAGTCCTCTGGGAGCTGTGAAGAACAGGCCACTACATGGGAGATCACGGAGGCCGTGGTGCCCACACAGCCCCTTGGGCCTCGCCTTCGCTGCCTCCACCCAGGCAGTTGTGGCACACACCGGTGACGAGCCGCTCCCAGCGGGGCAGAGACCAGCAGGCCCCCTCGGAGCCGGCCAGACCCGCTTCCCGCAGGGCCTCTGCCCGATCGGAGCCCGTCCTGGCGTTCCTCCGACCCGTTCCCCGGGCGACGTGCCCTGCCGCAGGCCGCAGACCTCCCGGAGAGAATCCCGAGAGCCCAGTGGCCACGCCCTGGCGCCAGCGGACACAACAAGCGGCCCCCGTGCCCGATCCCTCAGGGCGAGTGGTAACCCGCGCTGCAGCAGGGCTGGCCATTGCAGGACTATTGGAAACACAAATATTGATGGTGCTGTAAATGTCTTAATCTTTCTCTCTCTCCTGCTGGCTCCCCGTCTCCCACTCTCTCCTCCCCCATCTCTCTCTCTTCTGTTTTCAAAAAGGAATATAAATGATGTTCAGATTTTTTTTCCCCCTCTTTTCACTGTTTAATGACTGACAGATCTTGTAGCATTATAATTATTTTCAGAAACTTTCTTTATTTTTTTGTTTTCTTTTCCAAAAAGAAAAAAAAATGCATCAAAATAAAAGCTTTGCATTTGATAAGGATGTGGTTTCAACAAGTTCGTTAAAAAAACAGGGTTTTTTTTTCTGTGATGCTGTCGGGGAGAGAGGAATGAGTGGGCAGAAAACCGTTCAAGTCATCCACGCATATCCTGGAGAAACTAGGTGCCGTCGTTGTTTAATCTGTAGTGAGAAAAATGTGGGCCCAATCAACCATCTGATTGACAGATTACAAGGCCAGTGTGGAGTCCTGCGGTCAAGTGCAGAGTTCAGAATTCACCATCGCTTGATGGGCCAGAAGTCTGGTCTAATCAAGGCTAGCCTGTCTTGTCCACAGCTTTTAAATGACCGTTCCTGTCGTCAGATCTGTACAGGCACCAGTGGAAGGAACACACTAATTCGGAGGTTTCCAGCCCTAATCCTGGTGAGCTCCATTTGGGTTAGTTTTATAAGACCCTCAATTGCCCCCTTTCTATAAAGACTGCAGATGTGTAACTTAAGCAAGTAATTTATTGCATTTAGTGAACTCTGGTCCTCAGGGGTTTAACGATGTTCAGATGATTTGTTCCAAGCGATGGCTGAATAACATAATTTTAATTAAATTCATGATTATTGTTCCGTGTCTTTGTAAATTGATGGTTTCCGGGTCATTTCTAAAACTTTCTAAACTGAACTATGGGAACAGGGTTGGAGATTGGTTTTCTGAATTCTTAATTATAGTCCTTTAGACTATACATTTAAAATGCTTTAACTTATTTTGTTTCTGGTAATTTATGTCGAATTGAGCTAACAAGCATGCCGTTTTTTAAAAAACATTCTTAAAGCAGAACTCAAATTTTCACAATTATTAGCGACAGAACTGGTATATTTGTAACAATGTAAATACTTTAACTTTTGCAGACATGGACCTGCGCTTTACTGAACGACCCTAGCGGCTCACTTTCTCCGTTTCAAATGAAATAAATAATAAACCGATAAATAAATAATATATTGTCTCCGTGCACATCGCACTCGGATCTCCTTGCACTCCGTTAACCTGGAAGTTAAGTACGTTTGCTGACAGGTCCACACAAAAGCGACAGAAATGCACGTCTTAAACTCCAATTTCGTTTCAAGACACTGAAGACGTGCGTGTCGGAAAATGGACTGTGTTACGCAGGGATTTCGTTTTCTGTTTTAACTTCACGAAAGCCGATCAAGGCCCGGTTTGGGAGCGAGCACGGATCCTGGCGCTGACCGACTGAGAGAGAGAGCCGTGATCCCGCATTGTCAGCATCCCCCTCCCGGCGCGGCGCGTCACTTGAGAGACCTGGATGTGAAATGTGAAGTAGGCCGCAGTATAGAGCTCAGTCGCAGTGACAGTCCGGCAATACGTAGACCGCTTCTGAAGAGCGAAATGGTCAGGAATGAGATAAATAACATCTACTGAGAAATGTAATATTTGATACCATCTGAATCTTGGCAGTGGGAATGGTGAAGAGACGCCGGCTGAATAAGCCGTTTCAGTTCAGTCAATACCGTTGCCGCAGTGTCATTTGAAATATTTTAATTAAATGTTATTTATTTTTTATTTATTTGTCTTCCAGATTATTTATTGTAACTTATTTAAAAAACGCCCGTAGCTGACAGAGAAAACTGTATAAATAGGAAAAGAGAAATATATTGTAATTTGATTTTCTTTCTCGTGTAAATGATGTCTGAAGCCGATTGATAATTTCAGCAGTATTATTAGGACATTCTTCATGTAAAAATGGACAAGGAGACGTATCCGCTACATTATTTCGTTTGGTATAACCAGTACATAGAACTGGACCGAGAACTGCAGAAGAACAAGGTATGTATTTATTATTAGTAGTAGTAGTAGTAGAAGTGGTAGTAATTTATTATTCTAAAGTAGTATTTACTTGTGTGCTGTTTCCATGTTCTTATTATTAGTAGTAACATTTGCAATGAATACTATTGGCTGCTGCTTCTTCCAATTCAAGAACCTGATGTTCTTCAGCAGTGTTCAGCTGAATTGGTATCTGACGATCTTCAGCAGTGTTCAGTTGGACAAGTATCTGATGTTCTTTAGTAGTGTTCAGGTGGACAGGTACCTCATGTTTTTCAGCAGTGTTCAGGTGAACAGATATCTAATGTTCTTCAACAGTGTTCAGGTGGACAGGTACCTGATGTTCTTCAGCAATGTTCAGGTGGATAGATATCTGATGTTCTTCAGCAGTGTTCAGCTGGAGAGGTAGCTTTATTCAGCAGTATTCAGGTGTCTGATAGTCTTCACCAGTATGCAGGTGGACAGGTGACTGATGTTTTTCAGCAGTGTTCAGCTGGAGAGGTACCTATAATTCG